TCAATCAATGCAACAAAGCTACTAAGACGCAAGGGTTACTGAGTATGAAATAATATAAGAACAAGGAAGGCATTATTAAGGAGCAAAAACAATAAAAGACCAGAAATTAAGAAGACAGAAGATAATGATTGACATTGCATTTAAATTTTTGAAGACCAAAGTTGACTGGAAAGCAAGAAGCTGGAAAAGAGTACCAGAAGCAAGAAGTTGAAGTGAAGAAACTCTTAGCACAAAACTTACGGTTATATCTAACTATTACAATTGTAAAATGATGAGATCTTGCTGCTAATCTAGTACAAGACTTAAATTTATAAAGTCAAGGTATCATAGAGGAAATTTCATCAGAACAGTTACCATGTAAGTATTTATAGAAAAGATATAGGAAAGTGGCATTACAGCAGTGGGAAAGTGACGAGATGCCCAGTCAGGATCATTAACATTGCAGATTCTTCTTTGAATTTTATCAAGTATCTCTAAATAGCAGGAGGAGCAGACCATATATGGTGGCAATATTCAAAGCATGGATAACTGTTAGATGTATAAATATGTAAAATAGATTTGGATGAGAAAAATTATCAAGCAGAAGGTACCATACCCTACCATCCTGACAGATACACTAAACAAGCAATCGACCCCAAAATGTTATATTTCGTTGTTTTTTTTAAGATGGCTTGTCGGTATTGACTGAAGCTGCCAAGGTCAAGGTATGCTCACAAAGGGATGAATTCAGGGAAAGATTCCCTTGGACACACCAAAGATAACAACAGTCAGTATTTGCAGGGAGAATCCACTGTTATTTTCCAATAGCAGTTCCGGTGGGGTGGTGGTGCAAATAACACTCTGGTTTGACGTGGCATACAACAGATTATCTGTACCAACCTGATGACACTTACTGTACAGACTAAGAACACCTCTTCTTCCCACAAGTCTTCTCTTATATATCTGTAGTTGCAATATCTAAACAATGGAACATCTGATCTTCGTGCCATCCACATACATGTAGATTAAAATAGACAACAGTATTATTTACTCAACTATACTTAAGTTAAGTAGGTGACTTAATGACAATAGTATCATTTATCCGATTTAGTGATCTCATTACTTCATACAATAAGTCTCATCCCACTCACAGTGCTATATATATATATATATATATATATATATATATATATATATATATATGGAGAAATTATATGATTTGTTAAAATTTCTGAAAATGCCATGATACCTTTTATTCATGTTGAAAAAAATATGGACTGACGGTTTGACTATTTTTGGACACTTAAAGAACATATACTCTAATAATAAGAAATTTGTGTGTCCGAGTAGTTAGAACATTGGCCATAATGAGACTAGTCCCAATCATGTAGACCTGGTTTCAAATCTTAACCTGCTCAATTTTTTGTGGTTGTGACTTTTTAAGGATTTGGGCCTTAAAGCCATGCCATGGGTTGAGCCGAGGCTTGTGAGGAGACAAAATTGTCATTGTGCTCTCTCCCAGAAACTGTAACCTCTTAGCATAGTTGTGGTACAAACAACAAAAGTTGACTCTGTGAATGTTTATGGTACACAATATGTTCCTCAGTAGACATCTTCAACAGATTCAGCTAGCTACCATTGCAGAGAGGTATAATCAGAACAATGAGCCATTATTTTACTCCAGTTATATAGTTAACTGATGATAGCAACTTATCTGTAATGTACACGGTGTATGAATATATATGTCTATGTTCACGTTTATATGTATATATATATAATTCAATAATGCCAAAATCCGCTATTCAGAGCTTCACATGATAACAATCATCAGGTGGAAATATTTATTCTTTCCACTTATTTGTTATCACATGAAAAATGAGTAGCGGATTTGGATATCACTGAATTAATATGATTATATTTAGGCACTCTCGCTTGTGGCATTAAGGCATCAATTTATTCTGAATTTTAAGCTTTTAGCTGATCTTAACCTTTAACTTTTTTTGATTTTCGCTATTTCTATATACAGGTTGATTGAAAAGTAACTCCCCATTTTAAAATACTTATAATTTATTTATTAACTATAATTTTTACAAGAAATGGATATGCGAGGAAGGTGTTTAGTATGAAGTTTTATTTAAAATTTGATATCAGCACCAGATTTTGTGAACAGCTTCTCAATTTTGAAAGTATGGGTACGCATACACAGCATTATCAGAAAATAAGATATTAAATTTAAAGTCAACATTCCTAAAATTAGATTACGGAGAATATTTCCAAGATTTTATAAGATTAATGAGTACTTAAAAATTATATAAAAATATGTTCAGTAAGATTTTTTTAAATTATGCTTTAACAGATAGTTTCTATAGAACAATTATAAATGTGTCAACACCTCGTAAATCACTTGTCAGTGTTATTTTAAACTAAAGTAAATAATATTTTTCAAATCAGATTAATTATACTTTAAAACACCTAATATTCCTCAAATAAAGTTTCAGAAAAGTATATTTGATTTACATATATATATATATATATATATACTAGCAGCATGGCCTGGCGTTGCCCGTGCTTGATTCAAAAATCGTACAACTCATACAGCAATCGCTATCACTTGACTTAAAATATTTTTGCCCTTTCTTGCCTTTAAAGGAGTGCCCTTTGCCGTGCTGATGTTGCTACATGCCTTATTTCTTGCCTATCTTAAACTGCAAATTTTTTCTAAGATCTATACTAAACATTAAATCTGTTATGAAAAAAGAAACTAAACAAAATGAACACAAAACGATCAGCTTTAAAAAAGGACTCGTAACTGGAAAAACCGAATTAAAAAAAGAATGTTAACAACAAATACTTTTTCACACCCAACCCAGTTCTGCAGAATCAGAATCAACATTGAGTTTAAGCAAGCGAATGAGACAATTGGAGTAAAGTGCCAAGCAGATTTAAATTTTTCCCACTTGTGACGAATGCAGCTATCAATTTTTTTTGCATGCTAGTATGCTAGTTAACATTCATGTCAGTCAGCTGTTGGCTCTCACGCTGACCAGTAGAATCTTCCTGCCTATTCGTGGCAACCAGCTATAGGCTCTCACTCTGGTCAGTAGAAAATGGCCGCAAATTACATGAAAACTGCCGTAGAAGCATGAAAAAATTGATTATTTCCACTATCAATGGGAGTTGGGAAATGCAAAGTCAATCTTGGCCTTCCCGCTAACTTGGAGCATGTGCATGTAAATTTTGGTGCAAATCCGTCAAAAATTGCGGCTGTGCATTTGTTACATATATACACACATCCTGCCTTTTATATATAATATATATATATATATATATATATATAATTATTTATTTAAAAATATTTATTTAAATAAATAATTATATTTATGCTCTACTTATGTATCGAGCACTGTTTTTAAAAAATAATAACAAAAATACTAAAGAATTTTGGATTATTTACCTAACGAGTTCTTTCCTATTTTCTATATATTTTCATAAATATATATATATATATATATATATATATATATATATATATATATATATAGTACAGGTAATTGATCAGTTGGTATATCATCTGGGTGGATCTAGTATTAATTATTAAAACTGATCCACAGAGACCATGATATTTTATTTTAACAGAGCATTATTTTTTTTTGCAACAAAAAAATAAAATTACCTCAACATAGAGTCTATTTTGTCGATGATAGCCACGCACAGAATGACTTGAAATAGACTATCTCTATGTTGATGTAATTTTATTTTTTTTGTTGTGATATATATATATATATATATATATATATATAAACTCTACCATGTCATGTCTCTAACCACCCTTATTACACTCTCTGTTAAATTACAAAAACTTACACTACCCATCAATTTTCATTTCATTTTTGGAAGTGCTATCTGATGATCCAGTGTCCTTTAAAAATGTCCTGGTGAAATAAATTATTATAATGGAACCATAAAATGGTCTGTTTTTCTTTAAAATATCCTGTGACTTTTTTTCGGGTCAGTTAAGAGAGCAAGTCTATTATACCAAACCAAGATTTTGGAAGAATTTGAAGAGCAAATATAAGAAGTTATGTCTTTCATACTGCAAGAGGTCCTAGTGAGATCAGCTGATGCATTTCCAGGGCAGCTCAAGAAACAAGTCACAAAATCTGGTGCTAATATCAATTTTTCAATAAAATCTAATGCTAAACACTTTCTTCGCATATCCATTTCTTGTAAAAATTATAGTTAACAAATAAATTGTAAGTATTTAAAAATGGAAACTTACTTTTCAGTCACCCTGTAGATTGCTGTAATGCTTTTAAAACATTTGTTTAATAAACATTAAATGTCCTTTAATCTGACTACCATAAAATATAGATTGACTTATTTTCTTTAATAAACTAAATCATAATTTATTAATTTTCATTATTCTGACTTAAAAAAAAAAGAAAAAAGATTCCTTGTTATGGTAGAAAAAGAAACATTCAAAGCCAGCACAAGGATAACAAAAACAATCAACTTTTGTAATCCAGTGAAATAGTGAAAGTGAAAGTAGAGCATGTGGTGACTGCTACTTTCACCGCTACTATGAATGGGAATATGAGATATCATATAGCCTAAACCTATCACTATAGGCACTTATGCACACACACACAATTTGATTGTATTGGAAAATGATGACAGTTTTTAAAAGGGATAAATCCTTAGAGGATTTTGTCTTTTTAGACTTGTCCAAATGTGGAAAGAGTTGACAAAGCCTCAGTGATTCTTTTAATGTGTCCCATGGCAGGACTTGAGAAAATGAACTCCAAGACCGAGTTGGTATCTATTTTGAAAATCTTTTGATGAAAAGATATAATAATCAAAAAATAGACATTTCAGTAACTATCAGTCATTTATCTCTTATAGAAATGTAAATTTATGCATGTATTAACATATCATCATGCATCAGAGGAAGATGTCTGCTTAATTTTGAAATTCTTAGTCTGTGTGGGAGTCATTGGGTCCTTTAGTAATGTACATTTTACCTTTATATATGAGAGAGAGAGAGAGAGAGAGAGAGAGAGAGAGAGAGAGAGAGAGATCTATCATTCTTCCTCAAGAGTTATAAAAAGAGAACAACAGATATAAACAGTGCAGGCAGAAACTAACACAGCACAGGGACTGTCAGGTTGTTTGGTACTACTCTGTGCGGTTTCTCTAAATGTCTCTCTCTCTCTGTCTCTGTCGCTCTCTATCTCTCTCTCTATATATATATGTATATACATATATAAAGAGAGGAATATATATATATATATATATATATATATATTGAGAGAGAGAGAGAGAGAGAGAGAGAGAGAGAGAGAGAGAGAGAGAGAGAGACAGGCAGACAGACAGACAGAGCATTGTTGATTAAATTGTTTTTCTAAATAGTGGGAGTATTTTGTATGTTAAATAATAGAACTTTTAATTATTACCCCAAAAATTAACGAAAATTTATTGTAATAGACTAGGCATCCAAGTAAAACCTGTATTTTGTATCAACTTACCTGTTTGCACTTCTCTCCAAAATACGGTTTCCGTTGGTCAGTGTATGGCTATTTTAGAGGGTGTAACAGACAGATGAACGAACGGAAGTCACAGAGTTTTATATATAGTTTTCTCAACCTGCTGTGTTTGTATTAACAGTGCCATTATTGTGCATTATATTTTACCAGAATGGTGTGTATGTATATATATATATATATATATATATATATATATATATATATATATATAAGCTAAAGAAAAGATATGCTAAAACAAAATGGCATTTTATTAAATAAAATTTGTTATTTTAATCATTAAATTGTTTTTTCTAAATAGTGGGAGTATTTTGCATGTTAAAGAATAAAACCAACTGTACTTTGTACCCACTTAACTGTTTGCACTTCAATAAGGTCACATAATTTTATATATATATATATATATATATATATATATATATATTTGCTTTCATCAGCTCTAAAGTTTGGTATTCAAATAAAGTTCATTAGATCTAGGTTATAGGTTAATTTTTGTATAATCTTTTGAGTCCTGATATGGTTGTAGGTAGCAGAGCAGGTATCATTACTTCTGGCAAAATTAATAGAATCACAACAAATAGTTGGTGTTCTGCCAGCAGTTTTTAAATGTAAACATAGAAAGCCCTTCACCAGTCAGTTGATTATTACCCCACATAGTTTCTCCATTCTCATTCATGTTGGTATACATCAAAAACTGGTAAAAGCCCACTTCAATCTCACAAGGAAGTGAAAATAAGAACTGCAAATAAATGACGCTGAAATATCGAATATAGGTTCCAACATATTCAGGGGTTCATTCAAGGAGTGGCTCAATTGGAGTGGCTAGGTAAATAACACTTCATAGAACTTCTGGCAGATCAGTTTTTCCCTTCCATTCTTCCTCCTACCAGCTCTGTCCAACAACATCATGATGCGTGGCTGCCAACACAAATAGATGGCTTTGGAACTACTCAAGAATGGTGGATCAGAACTGTCTTCCTCAATCCCTGCAGTGGCTCTTAATAAATCCATAGATGGAAATTCTCAGTGCGTGGTTTTGTTATCCTTTGACCCCAAGAGTTTTCATTTATTTATTTTCTTCCCTTTCAGTCAAGTAGATGCTGCTTAGAAGATTCAGCTTCAATCTGTTGGCCATAAAACATGAAACATAAAAATCACACTTTTCTCTCTATGTGGGTGTTTCAGTCAGTGTTACATTCACAAATCAGAGACTTGATAATTTTTTCTTGTTTTGATGAAATCTACCAAAAATATTAAATTACTTAAATGTCATTTTTTGCCAATCAGGTAGAGGAATATCATTATGGAATCACCTTTGGTAATTGTTACTTTTAAATAAAACATCCCAGCAGGACTCTAAATCTGCATATCAGCAATATGTTGGATTTGGTTAGTCGTCGGCACCTGCTCACCTCAGAATCATCATCCTTTCTTCTTTCTCACTCTCTGGTGGCAGTGGTGGAGATGGCTGTGAAGGATTAGCCTACTCCTGAAGAGTATTCAAAGAGTATTTGACGAGGCCATTCATATGAATTTGATTTTGGTGGGCAACTCTACGCAATAAAGAAACCCACACACTTAGCCAGAACCACTTCCCTCGCAGCTCAAAGAGGATTAAGAGGTAAGATTCTGACAAATCTGGTTGTATCAGGCTGTTACATACTTGGTCTGTCAAGGTTTATCTTTGTTATGCCAGTTTGACTGCTGTTGCCCTCTTCCATTGTTTTGGTCAATGAGATTGTATAGATCTTTGCCTATTCTGCCTTTGGTGTTTTCAGGGTTGGTTGCATTCAGTCTGATCCATCCTTTTTGACCATACTGCCATAGGTGGCCCTACAGGAGTTGAAACTCCAGATGGCTCTTGGACTCGCTGGGACAAGTATGCCCTCTACCATGACAAGGAACAACCATATATATTTTAGACTGGATATCAATTATTCATGAAAATTGGAACCAGCTTATAAGTGAATATTGTTTTTCTTTGGTGTAGATTATGCCATGGCCATTTCAGTTCATCTTAATGAGAGAGAAACAGTGGTAATATATGGTGAGATTGCGAGTGGATATTTAGTATTTTGGGAATATTTCTCAAGAGATATATCTTGTCTGAAAGTCAGGATTTCAGACCAAGTCATTCTCCTAACACCAATTCAAAAAAAAAAAAAAAAAAAAAAATTAAAAATTCACATATATTTAATCATTTACTTTTATATGATCAATTCTCAGCAGTTATTTTTCTGCTTCATTATTGCTTGGAAAGTCATTGCAATCTTGTCGAAATGAATGTTATATAGGCAAAGTTTAACTTGACAATCTTTTTAAAAAAATTACCTACATCGAATGGTGTTCAGGGTCCTATAACACAAAACTCCATCAAATTAACAATTTTGTGCCATAGTGTGCATCCATTTTTGTCTCTGGTCAACTCCCATCATGCTTTACTTTGACTAACACTAACAAAATTTGTCCAAGTGAGTGTTTTTTTTTTTTTAATAAGATCTTGAAATTTTCCTCCCCTTGATTTATCTCTAATTTTAAGATCCTATTTAAAAAAAAACACTCCTTCAGTAGTATTTTAATACCAATGATTGACTTTTGATGATTGATGTCTGATTGAAAGGTGCCTTAGATTATATTTATTTTATTTGATTTTAATTGTTAAATAATAAATTATGATTCCTATCTTTAAGACTTGTTTTATATATATATATATATATATATATATATATATATATATATATATATATATATATATATGTATGTGTGTGTGTAATCTATCAACAAATTTTTTTTATATTTTATTGGAATCTGCCGCAAGTTCATGGATATGATGATTACTTTCACTGATCCCAATCATTAGCAGGAATTTTAATGTTACCAGTACCATAGTGAAAAATTTGAATGTTTCATCCTAGCATTTTTGATACACTGTGTTCCTGATTTAAATTTTGGTGTATCCAGTACAAAATAGAAAGGTTAAAATTAAACAATTTGACTTTGTAGATTGATTTGAATAAATCTTATGTCAATGAATTCTTGCTGCCTCAATATGAATAGATAATTGATATGTAATGAATGGTAAGTCTATGTAAAGATTTACTTATCATTAATGAGGCAAATGCTTATGTTGGATGCTCATGGATCATGAGTACTGTGTTTAGTAAATTACAAATATGCTTTGTATTTTGGCTTGGCACAAGGCAAATTCTTCTGATAATTTCATAGCAATAAAATGTCCATCAATATTCACTTGGGATCTCTGCTAAGATTGAAGCCTAGTTTCACTGACTAGCCATTATTTTTTTTTTCTGTTTGAGTACCGTCTAGCTTCTATCAACTCTCTTCTTGATCAACTGTTTTGTTCATATGCATTATGGAAAAGATTACAATGCATTTGTTGAGTTGTTCATTATTCATATTTTTAGAAGGATATTTTATATTCAGGAGGTCTGCATAATCTGTAGAATCACCGTAAGAAGAATACAGGCATAAAAAATATATTGTTCAACATCTAAAACTGGTTTTGAACAAAATATTAGAATGTTTTATAACAGAGTGAATAGAAAACTTTATGATTTGGCTTTTTACACGATTACTAAGCTAGCTAGCATGTGTGTTATGTCCTGGTGTTACCTCAGACAAAAAAAAAAATGGACCATTCTGTTTTGACTGTGAGGAATTAATAAAGAAAAAGATATAGAGATATTGTTTGGGTTTAGTGAGAAAAAGAAGCATACATAATAGAAAGAAAAAGAGAGAGAAAGAAGAAAGAGAGACAAGGAAAAGGAGAGACAAGGAAAAAGAGAGACAAGGAAAAAGCGAGACAAAGAAAAAGAGAGACAAGGAAAAAGAGAGACAAAGAAAAAGAGAGACAAGGGAAAAGAGAGACAAGGGAAAAGAGAGACAAAGAAAAAAAGGAAGCAGAGAAAAAAAGCAAAGGAAAAAAGAAAGTCAATGAAACCAAAATAAGAAAAAACAGAAAAAAAGAAAGGAAAAAGAAAAGGGAACAAAAAGAAAAGGAAAAGAAAAAAGAGATAGAAAAGCTGATAATAATCTCAGGGAAAATTTTATCAATTTTGAGGTGTTTTCATTTGTACCCTCTTACTTATTTAAATAATTACCCACATTCATAATTATGATTATTATTGCAATATTTTAAAGTTTTTAAGCTCAAATGTTTAATGATGCATCAGTAGAATTACTACAGGTCTTTTATATTTGTTTGATTTTGCAAGGAGCTAAGAATTATGTTTCATCAGAATATTCAAATAAAAAAAAAACAGTTAAATTTTCAGAGTTACTGCCATTTCTTTGTATTTATATAGGAATTGTGTAATTCTGTTGCATTAGTCTTATATTTTTATTCAGATATGAGAGAGACAAAACAAATTTTACATGCCTCAAGGAAATCTAGATTATTTGTTTTAAATTTATGAATGATTATGATATGTCTTTCCATTCAGAACAAACATGGATGGCTGAATGATATAACTGAAGGTCCTGGCAATTGGAAGTTTAATATATAGGTCAAGTAAGACTGAAAAATCATATATTCTACTTTATTTAAAATAAATAAATAAAATATTTAAATGTTTCTGTTCTGATCAATTTCATTTAATTTTTTTTACTTTGTCTTTAACACAATGTGGGATACTTAATAATAAAAAAAGCAATAAAAAATAAAACAAAAAGAAAAAATCCAAATGAAATCGGCTAAGGAAACATATCAAAAAATTCAAGTTTAAAATTTCAATATTCTTTTGTATGCATGTGTAGTTACATCAACATAAACCTCACTTTTAGTCCAATCTTTAGAATTTTTTTCAAATTTTTCCCCAGTTCTTCACATGTGTGTGTGTGTGTGTGTGTGTGTGTGTACACACATGCACAAGCACACACAGAAAGTGCGATGGATAAATTGTCATTTTAACAGATATAGTTACCAAAATTACACAAAAATATCTTTAATACTAAAATCTAAATTCATTCAATAAAATCACCATCAGAATCAACCACAGCCACCAGACGACTTCATATTCTCCTGCATCTCTTCTGGACAGCCTCCTTGTTTAAGTTGGTGAATGTTGTGCTCCCACACATAATAATGAAGGGGGTTGAAGTCTGGGGAGTTAGGTGGCCAGATGCAAGAGGTGATGTGGCTACAGAAGTTGCCTGACAGCCATGACTGGGTTCTCCTGATGTGGAATGGTGCAGAGTCCTGTTGCCAATATAGGGTCTTCCAGTAGCCACCCTCTTGATTCAAGGCAGCACTACCTACTTGATATAGACCTCCATGTTGAGTTAGAGACCTTGTGGGAAGATGTATGGAGGCATAACATCACCATCACTAGTGATCAAGCCAAACACCTTAGTAATCACCATTAGACTTATCCAACTCATTCTGAATCCTCTGCAATGTCCACAGATTGACACACAAACACTCTGAAATGTTTGTATTGGAGCTACTGGTACAAATGCCAAGTAGTATTGCATCATTGTGTTCTTTTTCTCACAGATGGTGCCCAACTGACCCGACTATACTGTGTAGTCAACAGAATCAAAAACAATGCACATGTGTGTGTGTGTGTGTGTGTGTATGTATATATATATATATATATATATATATATATATATATATATTATTAGTAGTAGTAGTAATCTTATAAGTATAAGAAATTATACTCATTTGGAAAACCTTCAGTGTTTTGATTTGCAAATAATCAAACTAATACCAAAGGGAAAAAAAGGTATAAAAAAAGAAAGAACCAAGAACATGCACGTTAGCCGAAAATAGTCTTGTATGCAAGTCCAAAGCCCAAAGAAAAAAACCCTGATATGTGTAGGCAAAATAACTAAATAAAGTGCTTGATACAGTAAGTAGAGCAGACCTAGTTAAAACTAGAGAGCCAGACAAAACTACCAAGGTTTCACCTAAGTGGATCGTCAGGGAAGGCCAGCCTTAACTGACGATCCATTTAGGTGAATATATGTATATAAATCCGACAGTATGACGAAAAATATACAGAAAAAACAAACAAAAATCCTAATATGCAATTATGCTGTTTTAATGTTAATATAATGTCAACGTCAGAAAAAAGGATTGAAGTTTATAAACAGTAAATTCGACCTTGTCTACCGTAAGGTTCTTTGTGGTCGAGACGGTTAAGGCACGTCGGCGTATATGACGGTTCCGTATAGGATGCAGGTTCGAATCCTGTCAAAGAATGAATATTTTCTATGAAAATTTCTCGGACATTCAGGCCGGTAAATGTTATTTAATACTGTTTATCATAAACAGAGCATTTGCTTAAATACTTGTATCTATAAATAACAACGTTAAACATAAAAATGTCTTTAATAAATAAATTGTCGGACCTTGTCCATTTCTTAACATATATATATATATATATATGTCCTTAATTTCAATCCTTCATGAGTTTCTGAGCCTTAGCTATGAATAATTAATGATGAACATGTTATTTTTGTTTATGATCGATTTCATCACAATTCTTCTATTAAGCTATAGAGAGTAATCTTATATTCTTATCACTCACCATAGAGTCCAGTAGTCTTATTAAAACCTTGGAAAATTCCAGTAAGATATTTTTAAGATACGATGCTTCAGAGATTAATTTAACAATTGTAGAATTTTGCTGTTACACTTGGTATAAGTGTGTGTGTGTATATATATATATATATATATATATATACACGCACACACATACATACATACATAAATATATATGTATGTGCATGTGTATCGCTATATATTTATTACTTCAAACATTATTATAGTGGACACTTGGTATCTGAATTTGATGCCCGAGTTTTATTTATTAAACATTGAGTATTACTTCTGTCAGCCTGCCCTGAGGTCAGAACATTCCAGTAATCTCAGTAAAGAAAATGTGTTTTCCAGAAGGTATTGAACATCAAGTTCAAGGCATCAGATTTTGTCCACAATCTGATGGAAAAGTATAGTGTAAAAGAAAGTATTAAATTATTAAAGCCTACATTATAAGATTTGTAACTCTCTCAAATGGGCAAAAATATGTCACTTCTTTCTTACATGTGTTTGCCATGAGAGATCATAATACAAGCAATAGATTTCTTACTTGTTTGTGTCAACATTATATGTATTTTGTTAAATATGATGGACAAGGAAAATTTTACTAATTTGTTATTTTAATTATATTGAAGGGGTTTTGTTTTGAAGTTTTATGTGCAGACTTGGGTGAAATGATCCTACTAGTAAAACCACACAAATAATACATCTCACACAGTCCAAACATGAAAAGAAACTAACAACATCAAAAACAAAACCACCTTGAAAATGGCTAAGGAATATCCGAAAGGACTTGGGACAATGGACGGTGTGGACAGTTTTTGTACTTGCGCATTCCCACCAAATGCAAAATGTAAAAACACTGGGAAAACTTAATAAAAAAATAAAATTGTACTTGTCCATTGTATAATGAAAAAAGTTTAAAAGAAAGGTTGCTGCTGAAATATATATATATATATATATATATATATATATATATATATATATATATATATATATAGTATCAGAGATAAAAGTGTATGTAAATATAAGAGTGGAAACTGAGGTGTACACTAATGGCAACAGATCTGAAAATTGTGTTGAAGCATGAAACAGACTATACTTGGTTTTGTCCTCAGCATCCATTTTTATATTTACATAAGCTCTATCTCTGATATTAAGCACTTTTACCAATAATTATAACACATCTTAAAATTACATTTTTATTTTAAATATATATATATATATATTGTGTGAAAATAAATCAATGAATCTGAGTATATTTTGTCTAATATTATTGATAAATGTGCATGACTACTTAAAAAAATTGTATGTGAAATTTTGAAATGCATTTGATAAAAGTATAATGTTATTGTTGACTAAACAAATAAGAACAATAAAATTATTTAATCAACTCAAGAGTTGTTCAGTTAATATCAGCAAGTGGGTGTGTGGTTTGGGGTTTTTCTCCGAACATGCATTCTTCTCCTTGTGAGGGAATAAAGACACTCATCGTCTTCTGTTGCAGCTGGTCATTGATTTGTCTCTTGTGTGGACATCCTAAATGCAGCTAGATCAACTATTTATTAACAGCTCACCGACATCTATTGATATCTGATGTACGTGTGGCTAGAAGGTCACCTTCTTGGTCAATCTGCTGATATACCTGGCTTCTTTGAAGCTCTGGTGTGACACTGAATGCAAACTATTTTTGTGTCATCTGGATTGAGCCCAGAACATATTGTTGTCATCACAGATCAACCTCTCCTAAAACACAATTCAACTGAGAAAATTATTTACTATTTCTGGGCATGAATTACATACATAGCCATTATTTACTTATATACACACATATGGAATGGCAGAAAGGCAAATAAAGTCAAAAGATGCTAATTTAGTAGTAAAATCTAACACAAACTCTTGATAATACCAATCCCAATCTGTTCAGAATTCAAACAAATAAATTAAAGAGACCAAAAGAAAATCAAAGATTTTCATTAAATATACTGTTCTTGTTTTGGAGACTATTATAACAGAGATGTTTGAAGTTTAATTATTTATGATTAAAAGTTATTTAAAGAAATTATTCAAAAATGCTTCCAGCAAAATTGAGGAGTTTTTCCATTAAGACAAGTACTTGGGATTTTATTTTTTAAATGCCACAGGTGATTGTGGTTCTCGACAGATTCCTTTTCTTCTCAGTAAATTAGTGTGACTTATTGGGAAAGATAATGGAGTGGTCTCTTTACCTTCACATTGTTTTAGTATTTCAGTTTTTTCTTTACCCTAGTCCCAAGGTTAGAGATCCCAGTTTACCCTACTATTATACTTGTAGCAGGATTGAGTAATATAAGAGTTATTAGCATGAGTTAAGATACTAGCCAGTTATGTTCACTTTGCTCTTGGAAAAGGCATGAACCTATCTCTTCATCTCACATTTATGGGTTAAATAAATGGGTAGACTAGACCCTCTATTAACTGTTGTAGGGGATGGAAAAC